CTTAACTAATTATGACCTCTTAAATTTCCATGTATATCGAGCCCATAAATATAAAGTCAAAATCTGAACAAAAATAGAAGAAATTAATGTAATTAAAAAATAAAAAAACAAATAAATTGTATAATAAAATATCTTGTTTTCATTTATCATTCTCGTGGGAGAGAAATAAAAAGGTAGAAATGGATTTTCGTTTTATTTAGCATTTGAAATTATCGTTATCTTTTTGGGCAAATCTTTCATTATCTACAATTTTCTCAAAATGATGAAAATTATTTCATTCCCATTCATCTCGCAATAAATCTTCTACTTAATCGATACGTGGCATGCCAACTTACCACTTCACTATGTCACAAAAATGTAAAAAATAAAATAATAAAAAAATCTTTTAGCGTTTACAGATTGTGACATAGTAGTGAAATGCACATCTAAATTGAAGTTCCGCGTTCCAATATAGACAACTAAAGTTTATTACAAAAAGTTCAGTGACCTCTGATGAAATGAAAAAATTAGGGTCATGCTCCCAACCTTTTGACATGTCGTGGTCATTGGCCCCAATCTTAAAAGGTGGGGTTCTGGATTCTTAACCTATTTAAATTTGTAAATTTGGGTCTCTACGTGATAGAAATCATCAATACCAATATTAAAATACCACTTGACTTTCAATTGAGCGGTAGAGAAATGTAAAGTGGTATGATGATTTTTCCTTCTAACTGTAAGTCACATAAAAAATGCGTAAATGTCAACTTTGACAATTTTGGTCATGTCGAGACCCAAACTATAGATATAGTTAAATTTTAGATCTAAAATCTTTTCTTTAGAGGTTGAACATCACTTAAAAGGTTGGAAAACTCTTCCTAATTTTCAAGAGTTAAATTTGGGGCAAGAAGTGGGGTGGGCGTTGGCCGCAAATAGGTTGTTGGCTCAGCTCACGCCTGAAAACAAGCTACTGACACTAGCTGAACAACAAAACACTTGTGCGAGCTGCAGTAGCTCACGAGCCACTTAGGGAGTCTGGTTTTTGGCCAAATTCAAGAAGAAAAAATTGGCTCGTCCAACAAGGAACTAGTTCGTGAGGCAAGCAGAGCCACATTTCGATGAAGCGAACTGATTCGCATAATGAGTCAAGCTGAACTTGGATTGTAGGCAAGAGAGATGCTCGAGTTGCCCATTTTACACGCCCTATGTTAAATTAACCATATTAAAGTTTAGTGATTAACGTGCCACAAAAGTTTAATATTAACCATATTTTCTTTCTTTAATTTTTTTTGTTTACCCAAAAAAAATTGAATGCAAAAGCACAAATAGCAAAAGAATTAAATACAAATTCAAGATTGTTAGTGCAATTTTTCCTAATTAAATCTACTAGAACACGTTTAAGTACTAAAAAAATCTAGATCGTCTTGTACTTTTATCTTATTTTTTACTCCATTTTTTTTTTTTTGCATTTCGATCATTCATTAGTGCTACAAAGTTAGTCGGTTCATAAGTTTTCATCTAGCTTATTCTCATCCCGACGTAATTTATATAAATAATCGTATCAGAATTTCAATTTTTGATAATTATATTTTATCTAAACCTTCCCATTATATTATGAATGTAAGTGTCAATTGTTGAGACGGTTCACTAAACTAATATAAAATATTTTACCTTATTATTTATAATAATGTTATCTAGCACCGTTCAAAGTGACCATACTCAGTATGTGCAAGACTTTACATTTAAATAAACTTACCATTTAATGACATTTAATTGTCACATAAACTGATGTTAAGCAACAATGATGTTAAATAGCACTACTCTATTATTTAAGTGAAGTTATTAATTTATTTAACGCTCATTTATTGAAGTTTTACTATAAATTAAAATATGCAATCTCGGATGTCTCATTTATACATTATATTACGAATGCAACTAGTGTCAATTGTTGAGACGGTTCACTAAACTAATATATAATATTTTACCTTATTATTATAATAATTATAAGTGACCACATTGTGCAATTAAATGGATATTTTGACTTTACATTTAAATAAATTTACCATTTAACGACATTTAATTGTCACATAAACTGATGTTCAGTATCAACGGTGCTAAATATCACTATTCTATTATTTAAGCGAAGTTATTAA